TTATATTTAAAAATATATTTTTTACACACAAGCACAATGTTTTAAACTGATTTGTTGTTTCTATTGATTTCTTTTCAGTTAAACAATAATAGGATAGCATTTACCAAATCAAAATACCAAATATACTATAAATATAATACAAACTGATTTAAAATGGGCACAAAATGTTGGATAAGTGGATTAAAGTATTATCTAAAAGTATATCTTGTCACACATCTCTGCATTCTGCTGGCATTAACCAAAGCTGAAGAGGTTTCCAATGCAACGACTGTAATCGACCCAAGCAGGTTCTTCAGATTTGTTTACTCCGATGTACCGTTTAAGTGAACTACCATTTTTTTATAGTATAGGCACGACATTGGAGCAGTTCAATAATATAAGTTCAACCGAAGATTCTACGACGCCAATGCCAAATAATTCGACGTATGATTCGAGTACTCCTACATCGACCGGCACAGAAACGCCAGAGGTGAAAGTATTACAAAAACAAGTTCAACCCACGGACTGTTCACAGCGTGAGAAGTCCAGAAATCAACCGGTAGCATCGTCTAGCTCTCGATTACGAAAATGCTGTCCACTTGGGGAAAACTTGGACTTTTATCGGGAAAACCAAAGTGATTCAATGTGTGATAATGCCGTGCTCAATTTTGAGCCAACTATTATTAGTGCGGTGCTCTATGACAATTGTATAGAGGACTTGGAAATAACTACGGAGCTGCCCATCGAAATTGGCAATCCATGTAATAGGTAAGTCTCTTAAGATTATGATATGAACTTGTATATAAATTCTATAATCGAAATACTTTTCGTAGACTACGAAGTCCATTATATATAGACGTAGCTATCCGTTTTTTTTTTGTGCTCTGTAACTCTCTGTATTCATTGCAGTGTTAACTTTTTCAGCTCGTTTCAATACGAAGATTCAGAAGATCTATTTTTTGTGCTGCAAGATGGTTCGCTGTTGATCATCGACAAGAATGGCAACGAGTCCTATACGGTGCAGGAGAACTACTGCCTGGATCAGGATAAGTCTGGCCACATGCTTGCCTTCGTATGCATCACACAGGTGGAGGAGGTGTCCAAGGCGAAGATCATCATTGTCGCCATCATGATGCTCATCAGCATGCCCTGCCTGCTGCTGGTTAGCTATTTGCACCTGACGCTGAAGCTGCTGCGCAACCTGCATGGCTGGTCCTTGGCCCTGATGTCGCTGTGCTTGGCCTGCGGCTATTTCGTGCACTCCATAGTACACATCTATGGCATACCATCCGGCGGGTTCATCGGCTACGTTATACAGTTCTTCATTCTTAGCTTTTTCTTCTGGTTCTTCTGCATTTGCTGCAATGTCTTGTTGAATATTTGGTATAAGCTGCCGCGCTACGTGCAATTCAACAAGATGTGGACTATTGTGAATTTTGGCGTCTATTGTGCATTCGCCATTGTGGGACCAGCTATTCTCGTCACGCTGACGGTGCAAAAGGGCTTGCCGGGCATGCCCTCATACTTCCAGAAGGGACTCACGGAATCCATTAGAGAATCGCAACGCTATTTCATACCACCTGTTTCTACTCTATTGGGGCTTAGCTTTCTGGTAAGTGCAAGGGCATTGAAATCGAAGAAAAATTTTACAATCGGACGTGACCAGCTGTATACAGGTGTTCACGCTCTGAAAACAATGAGATCTATTTACAAATATTATATGAAAATAAATATGAAATATTTCCGCAGTTGACACGCCTCATTACGGCTATAGATATAGTCTCTTTAAAGTCTTTAGCTTGAATACGTAAACCCAATATGCTCATTTGACTTTGTATAAATTTTATAATACATAATTATTACTGTAAACTTTCTATTTTTCTTCATTAGGCCATGGTAGTAGCTTTCTTTGGCTTTCAACGCATCAAAACTGATGGCTATTTGCGTGCCAATGAGGATGAAAAGAATAGCAATAGCCCCATACGCCAGTTTGATCAGCAAAAATACGAGGATGTTAAAAAAGAGTAGGTGTTTGGACATGAAAATTCTTTTAAATAATATATTAACAAACTCCGTTAAAATTAACAGCGCCAAATGTGTAGCCTTATTGGGCATTATCATCATATTAGCTTGGCTCTTCGAAATAGTTACGTTCTACTCGCCTGGCAATGAAGGTAATATAACAGTTATATAACAGTAGAATAAATATATAATAAATTTATTTCCCTTCTAGTTTATTTACTGCTCTGTGATATGATAAATGGACTTCAAGGCCTGTGGATCATGCTTATCTTTCTGGTCGTGCGCAGACGTCGCACTATAATATTGCGCTGGTGGTACGATCGGGGCACGCATACGATCAGCGAGGGTACCGAATTGCAGCCGGTTAACAAACCATTGAATCCTACATAAGAATTTAGTCATCTAATTTGTTTATTTATATAAATTGTTTATTGCATTTCATAAAGAAAGTTGTTAATATTGTGTTTTCTTGCTTGTCGTCACTTTTATACATAAAGTGTCATTAGGTTTAGGGGATCTTGGATAAAGAGAGAGTCAGTGTGATAAATGTATCAACTACGATGTAATGTAGCCTTTAAGGATAAAGCAATTTCGTTACGGTTATTTTTGTTTCTGCTTTATCGATATCAAATACTTCTAAATCATGCAAATCTAATTGTGTTCGTGTTTGGTTTTTTTTGTTTTTTGTTTTTGCTCTGTTTTCTTATGTGTTTCATGATTACGAGGAAAATTCATTATATGATGATGAATAAATATTTGTGTGTCATACTTTTGGATGGCGCCGGGCTTAGCGCTATAATACTATTTACATATTGTATGCAACGTAAATGGGATCCAACTGATCGGCCAGAAAACCATCCCGTAAATGCATGCGTTGCTTCTCTCCACGACTGTTAATGGGCACAACACCTGAAATGCAAGGATTAAATATAATTTAAATAAAACTTAATTTACGCATAACAATTTGAACTTACCCGGATCTACGACTACAACGACGCCCACTATGAGTTGGTGCTCTTCCAGCACCGTGTTTGTGACTAAGGGCACCAAATCCAGCGCTTCCGATTCGTTGCCATCSAGCTCAACAACAACAACCAACAAATTGGTCCAAGTGAAGACGGCGCTAAAAACAAAATTAAATTTAATTATTACAAAAATTTTCTATAATTTAAATCCACTCAAATTTACCATTCAGCAATTTTCTTATGACAGCGCAATACCGAATTCTCAATATCTATGGGATGATAGTTCATGCCGCGCAACGAAATCACTTCGTCTAGAGCGCCAACCACATAAACCGCATCGTGCAATTCCTGATCACTGGAGTTAGCTGCGCCACCCACCAGGCTGTGCTCCGAATTGCCGCCCAGCGAAGTATTGGAAAAGTTCAACTGCAATTGACTCATGGAGTTCAATGACTCTGTATCACTGTCACGACTTGCTACGCTCGGCGTAGTCTCATCCAATATGGAGGCTGCCTGCGAGCATTCGGTGCGCCGCAAGAAGCCCAAGTAGCCGGTGCGGGCATACACCTCAGAGGTGGCACCCGTGACCAGCTTGGCATTGAAATGATCATTGTAGTCGGTCTCATCGCCATAGATAGTAAAGTAGCCGTTGGCATTGTGCGGAGATTGCACCTATATAGAGAAGAGTATTTGTCATTAAAATATCCATTTTAATATCAGACATTTGCTTACCCAAATTTCACCTAAATGTGAATCACCACAGTGGCCCTTAGTTTCCGGATTTGCTATGATCACTTTGACGCCAGGCAGCAGCTTGCCGGATTCAATTAGACACAACGAATTGGGCGCACCTCGTTCCACCAATGCCACGCGATTGTTGCGCAGCGCCCTAAGGTCCACATACACCTGTGCGCTCTCAGCCGAGCTGGCGCCCTGAACGCATATGGCCGGGTTAACGCGACAGCCAAAGGAAGTGGAGACACAGCGTGTGTTCAGCCCGAGGCCCTGGAACAGTTTGCAAAACTGCTGGGTCAGTGTCACGCGCGGACGCTCCTCGCCCACAACGACACAGGTGCGCACACATCTCAGATCCACATTGCGCTGCTTGAGCGACGGCACCGAATTGCTCAAAGCCTTGGTGCACAGCTCAATGACGCCATACGAGCAGAATGTGTCGCGTACGCGATGCTGCGACAGCGTCGAGAGCCACAAACTGGGATTGGCCTCCACCTCGTAGGGGGCAATCAATATGGAGTGGTGGCCACTGTACACACCTATCAGAGTCCACATGACAAAGCCAAGGCCACAGTAGGGATCCAGACACAGGGCGACATGCCGCGATGGATACAGCTCACAGGCCAGTTTCAAACTGGCGCACAGACTAGACAGAGATCTGTTTCAATGAATATTTAGAAGATATATATTAGTTGAAGCTTCGTTTAGTTTTCAGGATCGCTCACCGATGAGTTATATTGACGCCACTTAAACGACCGCATGTCGATACACTGAAATCTAAGTAGGCGCTGGAGTCCAGCGAGACTGTGGCTATGCCGGCCAATTTACGCTTTGGATTATCATCGATGTCGAGTATGGGTGGCCAGGTCTTCGGATCGATGGACGAGGCCGCCTCCCTCGATTTTAGTAACTTAATAATTGGCTGTATGGAGAGCACAATGCCACTCTTGGATACATCGACAATCATGCGCACAGTGGGCAAGGTTGTTATCAAATTCTGTGGATGCGGCGGCCGTATTGTTATAGGTATTGCGCCCAGATAAAGGCAGCCATAGAAGGCGCAGAGCAAATCCAAGCCAGGTGGAAATATGAGCGCTACATGAATGGCAAATAGAGGTATTATTAACACTTGTACTGCTTCCAATATCTGAAGGTATTTCATAGACTTACCCACATGATCACCTGGCTCAATCTTGCCACGTTCTTGCAGCAGTGCAGCAATCTTTTCAGCTCGCTTATGCAGCTCGGAGCAGGTCAGCGTCTTGGCTATAGCGCCTAGAAATTTATATAAAATTGTCGATAAAATTTAATTGAGTTTATTATTTGTAATGCTCACGTCTTACCCTTGGAATTGAGCAACGTGAATATGATGTGATCCGGCGAGGTGTTGGCGCGCCAACGCAATACGCCTGTTATCAATTGGGGCTGTTGATTAAAATGATGAAAAATTAGCTGTGGATGGAGTACTTTGTAATTAATGACCTACCTTACGCTCACCGTCCTCAGCCATGCCCACGTCGCGTCCGTGTGCAACAGCCAAACGATTGCCCTGCACTAAATTTCCAACCATGACCGAGGCGGGTCCTACGCCCGTGTCTGTAATACCACAGCCAGATGTTGAGCTTAGTTTTGCAGTTGTTTGCACACCTTTATTTAATTTTTGTTTTGGTTTTGGTTTTGATTTTGATTTTTGGTTAGTTTTAGTAGAATGGTATTGTTGTTTTTGTACAAGGATTTCGGTTTGAGATGGCACGGTAACAGAGTATGAGTTATATAGATCGTATGCAAATTTATTGTGAATTTTGTTAATTTGAAAGCACAGCAAATGCAATTAGTTGTTGTTGTTGTTGTTGTTGTTGACATTGGTAATTGTATTTGTATTGGTAATGTATTGTTTATTGTTTTTTTATACAGTGTTGAGTAGTGAGTGTAGTAGTAGTTGTTTGTTGTTGTTGTTGTTTATTAGTGGTGCGTATTTATTTGTAGTGGGCATAGTGGGAAGCAACCGCAGCATATTCATTGTTGTTGTAGTTGTAGTTGTTTGTTGTTTGGTGATTAATAAAAAAGAGGAAAACAATATTTGTATTTTTATCAGATACGAATATGCATAAAGAAAAGCACAGATAGGAACCAACAAAGCCAATAGATTAAACAATAGGTTATACATATATATATATAGCCGTATATCCAAAACAAAACAAAACAAAACAAAAACAGTAACGAAACCGAAAACATTTCATCCACTCACCTTGGTGCATTTCTCGTGGCTTTGGTAGATTGGTGACGCATGTGTGCGGACACATCAGGACATTTGCCGGATGGAGCGAACCCTCCAGGAAGCGACGCCTCGCCTCACACAGATGTATGCCGCCCAGCGGGGTCTTTGGCAAATGATTGGGCGGCACCAGGGCCAGACAATAGATGCCCACCTGATGTATGGAATCGACTGCCTGCAGCACGCGCGACATCCACTGGAAGCTCTCCTCCTCGGAGCAGTCGGGCCGCTGCTCGGCTATGACACAGACACGCTCATCGCGCAGCACTTTGATGCTGAACACAGCAATGCGTCCGCGATAGATGAAGCGCATGGGCTCGACGGCCAGCACCGTGGCAATGATGTCATCTGCGTTGTGCTTGCGCCCGGTCACCGTCATCAGGCCGTCACGTGAGCCGCACACGAACACCAAGCCGCCGGGTCCCAGGAAGCCCAAGAGACCGGAGCGTACATAATACTCTTCGCTAAGTGGCTTGGGGCTGCTCACAATTGTGCCGCCCGTCTCCTTCGGCTGCTCTGGATCCTCCAGCAGGGGCTGGACTTTAAATGTCGAATTCGTCATGCCATCGAGTCCAAAGTAACTGGCACCCGTTGAGCCACTCGTCACACATATCTCCCCCACCTGATCCGTTTTGCAGAGCACTGGGGCGCCCTCGGAGCGAACAACCACCATTTGGGCGCCTGGCATCACCTGCCCGCAGTCCTGCAGTGTGAGCGAAGTCAACGAATCTTCGCTATCTACACGCACCACGCCATGCGAGAGTGCGGCCATGGATAAGACACCGCGTCCAGTCGCCGATTGGCAGAAGCCCGTTGTAGACGACCGACCCGGTCGACGCAGTGAGACCGTGAAGACCTCGGAGCTGCTGGCACAGGGGCAAATGGCGTCCGATCGCAGGCCTTTCGCTTGGAATACATTTAAGAACTGATCGCACGAGGACAACGACCACGGATTGGCGCCATCGGCAACGAGCAGCATACGCAGCGAAGCCAATGAGATGTCCTTATGATCCTTGGTCGCCAGCAAGCCCCAGTGCAGATCTCGGCTCTTGACCAGGCAGCAAGACGCACGATGTTTCGTGATCAGCTGCATCCACGACGATGGTCGCAGCTTCATCAGAGCATACGGAATGAATACCACATGCATGCCATTCAGCACAGATGTGAGAACGGCATGCCACAGGCCGACCTCGCGCTTGAAGTCCAGCACGCAGACAATGGTCTCGCCCTCTGTGTAATGGCAGGCCATAGTCAGGGCACGACAATGATTGATCATGGCAGCGCGGGTAACAGTAATGCCTGAAAAAGAAAAGAGTTGCATGAGTCGAAGTCAGTTAAGTTGAGAGTTAGATAAACACATTAAACAAATGCCAAAGGGAAGATCTCATAAACGCATTTTACTATACTATATACTATATGCTATATCTATATAGACTATATATATAGTATACTAAATACATTTGTTTATTTATAAACTTCTATATTAGGAACCTACCCATTACGCTGCCCTCTTTATCCGTCGTATACTCAATGTACGCCGCAGCCGTTTCTTCAATACGCAAATTGCCCACATTAAAGTCTTTGGGTGGCTTGGGCAAGTGCTCGGTGACGAACCATTGTAGGCGTGGCCAGCCCTTCAGTTTGGCTATCTCGCCCGTTGCCGACTTGGGCAGTCCCTTGAGGCAGGCCTCCGATGTTAGGGCCACGGTGATGCCGCAGGAACTCAGCAAGAATCCCACTTGCTGTGGGGGCGTGTCCGAGCTCGAGAGCGGCAATTCAATGGGCAGCGGCACCAAGCCCCGAAACATGCATCCATACCAGGCCGTTATGAAACTAGGGAAATGCAAAAGAATGTTAATGTAAATCTAATTTAAATATAAATTCAAAACTTACCTCAAGGGATCATTGTTTGGATAGACCAGAGCAACGCGATCGCCAGGCTTTAGAGTGACTTGTTCGGGTCCTTTGCTAAAGATTTTGGTGGACAGCGCATAGGCGATCTTTTGGGCACGCGAGTATAGTTTGCCATAGGTCAGGGTCGTGGTTATTTTACCATTCGGATCTAAGACGGTGGCCATGGAGCTCTTGAAGGAATTTATGCCATAGCGCTGCAGTGCGCACTCCAATGTGCGTGGCAAGCCAGCTGGTATCGAAAGCTGTTCGCCTTGCACTGGTGTCATGGTGCTGCCCTCCGGCTTGGGTGCATTCGGATCCTTGGGATTGGCCGCAATCTCAAGCTCAATATCATTGTCCTCGTAGAACTCGGGCAAGGGCCGTCGCTTGGGTCGCTTCAAAGTGTTCAACAATTGTTGAATCTTGGCCGAAACTTTCCATTTGCCATTCGCATCAGTTTCATTTAGCTCCGTCTGAGAGACGTTGACATAACGTGTGACGCGATCAGCGATGCGATGTGCGTTGTTAAACTGGGTAATATCGGGTGCGTTAACTGAAGGGCGAGAAATTGAGAAGTGATTAAAATTATTTGTGATATGGGTTGAGAGATGTGCTTACAATGCTTCTGTTTATATGCCTTGTCAGTGAACTCATGATCTCTTTTATATCCAATGGGTGGGGAGTCTGTGCTCGAAGTGTCCGATGTGGGCTGCAAGGGGGAAAAGAGAGTATTTGATTACAATGATTCAAGTGTAAATAAATCCCTATATACATATTACATTTACATAGATATTAATCAACATTTATCTCCTTCATTAGTTCATATTATCCATTCATTCACATTATTAGCTCATTAATAACTCGTATAACAGTCGATAATAATTCCATTTTCTTAATTTTATACAATGAGCAATTAACTCGATTGTAGATAAATCTATCTGTTATATTAGCACATATTTAACATCGTTAACATTGTTTTAAGCTTCAAGTGTATATAATCTAACAATCTATCTAGTCATCTATTACAATAGTTCCTTTAATTAATTTAGTAATGGCTTACAAATCTCTTTTGTTAATCTAAACGATGAACAATCAAGCTATAATTGAACATAAACAATAGTGTTTCTAGACTCTGAGTCACTCACCAGAGGCGGTAGATTCTGCGGTGGCCGTCTCTCGGCCGCGCTGCCCGACGATGGATACTTCTGAATCGGCGCTTGAGATTGCTTGACATCGTGCCGTAAATGCTGTTGTTGTGCGATTATGGATGATTCACGTATTGGTGGCTTTATAATTGGCTCGGGCGGCAGCATACTGTTGCTTATATGATCACGCGGATAATTGTATTCCTTGTCGGGTGAAATGAGCTCCTCGGGTATCGATTCGTCATCACTGGATGAATCCAATTCATCGTTACAGCCAGGACTCCGATTGAGCACGGAGCTGCGCTTGGAGGGCATGGGCAGGCTGGGCTTGGGTCGACTCTTGAGAGCAGCCAGTGCCTGTTGTACAGCTTCCTGGCGCACCTCTATTGAATAATAACACACGAGAGTCAATTAGATAATTGAATATAATGTTAGAGTGTTATATAGACCCACCGGAATGATATCGTTTCTCATTGTGCGTTACTTTACGTTGTGTGCGCCGCTGTCGATGCTGGCTACTGTTCGATGGCGGATGTGCACCATGGTTCTGGAAGGTGTTCGGTTCGCGGGTATTCTGATAGCCGGGATCGCCAACGGCGCCGCCTTGCGGTCGCATATTCTCATAGCCAGGTGCACCACCACCACCGCCCTGAGGCGTGGCCGACGACGATGAYGATGATATGGCTGAGCTGGGCTGGTGAAAGTCAGACTTTTTGGAATGCCTTTGTTGTGATGAGGGTAATGATGGTACTTCAGTCACATAGCTATAGCCTTCGCTGGAAATGATGACGCCATCGCTGTTGACGTTGCTATTGTTGCTGTTGTTGCTATTGTTGCTATCTTTTATGTTATAATATGGCGGTGGCGGCAAGTTCTTTGCCTTTTCCACATCGTTTACTATAAATGATAATCACGTTGTTTCCGTTAATAAACTCATTTGGCCAAATCGAAATGGACAACAGCCAAATTAGATACTTACATTCCTGTTTCTTGAGATAGGGTTGCAATAATTTGGCTCGTTTCTTTTCATATCCTTTCTGTGTTATGTCGCCTGAAATTTGTTAAAATACAAGTATTAATTATTTTTATTTTATTTATTTTACTAAAGAGGAAATTAAAATTATTTGTTATTATTATAATATATATTTTTATACGTGGGCATATATAATATGGTAATTTTAAAGATAGTATATTATTCTTGAGAAAGCTTTAATTAAATAGAAATTAATACAATTAATATTATATGCTATATCTGTTGACCTTATTATTATTTAGTTTATCATATATAAACAAACCAAAAATTTGGAGCTGTCCAAGTTATTTATCTTCAAAATATCTAGTTTATTATTTACATACGCCGAGCCTGGGTTGGGCTTATCTTTAAACTGATAAGCCACACCTAATAGATATGCCTTAGAGTAGCGCTATTAATTGATATTGTGCCATGTATGTATATATATAAATAATATATATATATATATACGCATATTAGGTTAAACTACCTCTCAAAAGAATTTAAGAGCCCATCTGTTATGCATATATATGTATGTATGTTRTATATATTTAGGTAAATAATCATCATGTCATATCATCGGACGCACACAAACCTAAAACTCATATGCGCTCTGTGCACATCTGTAATCATGCAAGCGCATACGACTACATGCAGGCATGCATGTACACATACATACATGTATATGTATGTATGTATATACATACGTGCAGACACATGTCGTTTATCCCACAAAACCGCACACAAGCAGACGCTTTATATGAATAGCAGTTAAAGGGGTTGGCGCGATGACAAAGACACCCGGTCCGCCCCGCCCCGCACCGATCCGTGTTCCCCTAGCGACTGCTGTCTGCGGTAAGTTCTCCTAGTGGAGATATCTGATGTTACCCATGACAGGTTACGAATACATCGTGCTCCAATTTTACATTATCGATATTATCGGTTGAAGCAAGAGCACAGATTATTTGGATTAAAGACCATTAATTATATATCTACTGTGTTGCTAACTTAATCTAAATTTCATGTATACAATCATAAATTCGATACCTTCAGATAACTCCAAGTCCAATTCAGCCAGCTTTTCGCGTACATCACTTGGCAGCGATGAGATAAGGTCCATCCCCAAAAAATTGGCAGCCGTCGCAGACATTTTTGCTGTGGACCGTTGCTGTTTTTCTTAATGGCTGGAGTTTTCTATTAGTACATAAGAATATACATACAAATGTATGTAAGTTTACATACACATACGCATAAACATACAAACACACCAACACAGACACACCGCTAGTTTGCAACTTCGTTTCTAAAAATCGATAGATTTGCTATACATTAAATACATTTAATGAACTTGACGTTTTCGTCACGCACAGTATTTAAATAATTAATTTGTTCAGAATTGTATTAATATTTTGCATTTTGCTTGCACAAATTAACACACCAGCCCGTGCTAAAAAGCCCCAACAGTAACCGCACCGACAAACTCGTATATATAAACAAAGAAAAAGTAGAAGCCATGACTGTTAGAAGCATAGGTAAGCAAGTATATGAGCAACACTGAGCTCTCACTGCGCATGATGTCACATTTTTTGAATCTTGAATGTATAAAACAGTAGTCGGTAAAATATATTTCGAAATATATATAATATTTTTATTATGTGCTTTAATCTAGTCCGTTGAGAATTTATAGTAAACTAAAGTGAAATTAAATTAAATATCTGGAAAAAGTTCAAATCTGACGTCACATTATTTAACATTCACAGGGTAGAGTGAATGGCCGCAATATACAACCTTTTGCTATTTAATAACCAATGTGCACGGAATGGCAAAATTTAAAATATTTATATAAAAATCAATGAGCACATGGATATTTGAAAAGTGCTAAACTCTTCGTGTCTGATTACGGTTTCGTTGTTTTAAAGCAGCGAAGTGCATTTCTAATTAGCTAAAGATATTGTACATGAATATTTAAAATTAATATATTCGATTTTTCAGGGCTACCAAATATCGATAAGATTGCGGCATCTTGAAAAGTCAACTTGCCTTTGCGATACGAAAAAAATATTTACATTTTGCGCCTTTTTACAGCAATTATATTTATAAATTATTGTGCTTGAACCATCAAGTTAATTTGGTTTTTGTGTTGAACGCTTCTACAAAATGGGTGTGTTTTTGTTAATGATTTTAATCATTTTTGTATATTAATATAATAATATCTTGCTTTATTTTTATTTTTTAGACTACATAAAACTGCAGGATCAAGTGAAAGCTTTGAAGAATTTGGGTATGCAAGCAAAATAAATCAATTTTGACTGTTATTAATTAGTATTATTATAGGAGAACACTTGGAAAACAAGTTAAAACTTGTCAGCTTTGAGGTTTCTGACTTGCAAAACGACGTCTTAACATTGGTGGACAAATGTGTGGATATTCAGGTAGACGGAAATCTAAACGATCTGAACTTGAATTATTTACGTGAATTTTACTATACTAAAAAGCGTGAACAGATCGAAACCAAGCTAACTGTAACACAGCAAAGAGCAGAGATAAAGAAACTTCAGCATGAAATAGACGAGATGGGCAAGGATATAGCAGGGCTTGAAAAGTAATATAGCGAGCTGATTAAATATTAAATTAAATATTTATTGAAGTTATAAATTAACTCCCCACAGATTTACCACCTCAGTTGATAAGCGCATGACCCCAGCGGCTGTCCAGCAGCAGATCAATGAAGTCGAGGCAAAATCCAAGGCTCTTGTAGACAGACAAAAGGGCCTTAAAGTACCAGAGGATTTTAATATTGAGGCGGTTATAGAAAAGATCGAGATGCTGGAGCGAAAGAAATAGAACTGTATCTGGTTTTTTATAAAAATGATTTTAATATGTTTTTATTTAATCTGTTGATTCAAAAAAATTAATTACCATAACACAAAATCAGCAAATCTAAATTAATCGAGCTTTAACTTTTTACTTTCGACGCATTCAAAAATAAGCTGTAACTTGTCGATTATTACTTTGATTCTATTTTATTGGAAGTTAACCGTTTACAAAGTGGTCAATTGCTGCTAGTTTTTGTTTACGTTGCATGTTTGTTGTATATTTGTTTAATGAATTATTAAAGTTTTTAAAAAACCGTAAAAACCGAATTTAGAACGGTTTATCAGCTGCTTAAAGCATTCAAATGTTTCAAGTTTCAACCTTTCCTTCATGTTTTCTATTCGTTTCTTTTACTTTTCCTTTGCCTGTTGCTCAAATATTTCCAATGTGATTATATTCATCATATATTTATATATGTATATAAATTGGTGTGTTTGCTTGTTTGTGTGAGTGTATTTATAGAATTAATAATTTCATATTCATTAAGTTGTTGCTTGTTGTTGTTGTTGTAATATATAAAGGGCGGGTATGTGGCAGACAAACATTTCAGCCAGCAGCGCGCGCTCCACACGCCGCCTGCCTACTGCACGCTTGAACCATCTCCTAGCGGAACTCGGGCGCATCATCCTGCGTGATGTCGCCGTACTTCCAAATAGCCAAATGTGCAGCCAAAGCCGCTTCCTGTGCAGTCCTGTACTGCTCCACAAGCTCCTTCAGCCGACGCTCTCGCCTCTTCTCGACCAGCACAAGTCCATCGGCCACAAGCTGCTTGCCCAAGTCCGTCTTCGTTGTGGGATCATGTAGCGTGGCCAGATGCGGTCCATTGCCGACCTTCAGCTCAACATTCAGCTGCAACTTGTGGTTCAGCACGTCGTCAGAGAAGGCGCGCAATGCCTCCTCCTTGTCCTCATTGTCAGCGGGCAGTGCGATCAGGGCGAGTGCGTACTCGGTGGCATAAGGCTTCTCGCTACTAAAGGCAGGTGGTAAGGCAGCCAGCCGGCTAATAGGTAGAGTCTGCAATGGAAAACAGATAATAGTATAGATTAGCAAAGCCTCTCCTTTATCCATAGTTAAATATAATTATGATGGTCATGTCGCACACTGTCGACTGTCACTCGACCACGTCTGGGATGCCCCCAACAAAAAGCGTGCCATATTCAATGTGGAGCACATAGAATCAGAGCCGCTTTTGCCCAACAACTGCACCAAAAAATATGGCTCAATTGTCGAGTCTTGGTGCGGATAAATCAATGCTCCTTGAACGTGGACACACCCATGGATTGCTGTAGAGTTTGGTGTACATCGCTTCGTGGTCACAGCTGGCGTCTAACAAATGCGCAGTGTTGATTTGGCAAACTTATGACTCATGCGTTTCGCTTTGAGACGGAAACGGATCTAAGGAGCTTGCGAAAAGAACTCATGAGTTCATCTTAATCCCTTACTCAATACTACTTACTTCCTTGTTGCCGTAGTCGATGTACAGAACAGTGGCGTTGTTGCCCTGAATGCGCTCCACCTTGGCGCGGTACCACTGATTATCGAAGGTGAATTGAGCGGCGACCAGGTCACCACGCTTGGGCGTGTACGAGCCGGCAATGGGCGGATTAGCCTGGAAGTCGGCGTGCAGCTTGTTCATCAATGCCTCCAGCTTGGGTCCATTGTCGACCGACTGGGCAAAGAATGTCAGCGTATCGGTAATCTCAGTGACGATAACGTTCTCGTAGTTGACCTTGCGCTCCACCACAACCTTCTCGTCCTTGTCCTCCTCGACGACAACCTTCTCCTCAGGCACTTGTTCCACGTAGTTGGCCCAGATGTTCTTCTTGGCCGCCTTGGCACGATCTTCAGCGCTCTTGAGCAGTCGATAGTATTCCGATTTCTCGGCACTGAAGTGCACCTCGGCGAGACCCTCCTCGACAAGAGCGACAGACAGATTAACGTTCTGATCAGTCCATAGCCAGCCAATGACCGATGAGCCCGCTTTGTCCGTGGTGTCAATGTGCACGGAAACATCACGCTGCAGCACACGCTCCCGGGTGAATGTCAGCGCCTCGTCGCCGTAGGGCTCACCCTCCTGGGCGGGCACGCCATTAAGAGCAGGACGCGATGAACGTGGGCATGAAATGCCAGCGAGCAGGAAGGTAACCAGACAGCTGTCCTTGGGCACGTACAGGCGTAACCGTGAGCCGCTGGCAACGAACTCAACGATGGCTTCGGTACGCAGAGCGCGTTGCCAGGAGGGCAGGTACTGCACTTTAATGCGGGAATGCTCGACAGTTAGATCGTTGACACGCAACGTGGCATTGTCCTTCTTGGCATGAAGACCCTTCTGGCCCTTGATGGCCTGTTGCTCGGCAGCAATCAGTTGATCGTAAGCCGATGACCTCTGGTCATCATCCTGACGATAACGCACGCAAGTGGCCAGACCCTTGGCCACCATTGCCTCAGCCACATTCTGTCCGCCGATGAGCACAGTGTAACAGTGCTTCTCCGGGAAATTGTCACGCATTGGTGAAATGTAGTCCAGATTGCACTGCACCTTCTTGTTGATCAGCTTCTTTCGCAGGAATTCACGCGCCTCGAACATATGCGGAATTTCGTAGAGTGGACGATAGTTCTTGCCACGTGGCGGAGCCTTGACGATCTCCTCCCCATCCGTGCCAACGACAGCGCGCTGGTCACGTGGCGGCCGAATAGAGGAGAAGAATACCTTCTTCACCTGACCATTGGCAAGGCGCACGTTGATGGCATCGCCGTTGAAGACCTCGACGACGGTGCCCGTGAAATCCTTCTCCTTGGAGTTGAAAGCGGGCGTTTTCGCTTGGTAATCCTGCCATTGTCGCAGACGTTTCTCCTTCGCAACGCGTTCAGCGGCACGCAATTTATCAGCGCCTATAATTAAGGTATCATTAGTATTTTATACTGGATTTATATTATTTTTACATATATGTAGACGGGGTGAAATGAACGCAGTGACAATAATGCAGTCACTATATTCTTGGAATCCGTCAATTTCATCTGGCAATTGGCAGTTGAGCATACATAGTGCAGCACAAGGCATTGGCCGAAAGGGCACTATGTACTTCAAGTCAGTTGCCAATGGAATACATTTCTCTAAGCTCACCTGTCTTCATGACGGCCATAGACCAGTCCACACACTTGGCCAAGCCCTCGCGTAGCAGCGACTCAGCAATGTTGCCCTTGGGATACAGAATCGTGCCAATAAAGTTGGAATTGTTAACAGACTCCAGCCTTATCTCGACATCACGCTGCAGCAGGCGGGTTTCAACGTAATACCGTGCCTCATCCGCAAAGGGTACCTTCACGCTCAGGTCGGGTTTGCCATCGGCATCCAGCTTAACGCCAGGACAGCGAATACCCGCAATCATCAGCGTAATGTAGTGGAAATCGGGCAGTAAAAAGGCACGCACAGTGGAGCCATCGCGCACATGCTCGATGATGGCCTTGACAGGCTTTCCACCATAGATATCGACGATGTGCGCTGGATTCTCATGCGACCACTTAATGTTCCGGACTTTATCGGCGGGGTTGACGTTGTGCGCCCATTTTCCACGGTTGGCAGCACGCGCCTGATCCTCCAGTTCGATGAGCGTCTGCTGCTCGGGCGTAGGACGTCCCTCCCTACGTACCGTTACGAGACCCTCACGCACAATGGACTCAACGACGTTCTCACCGGTTTCCTTGTCCTTGCCCACCCAGACGAAACCGTATTCACGGTTGGAGTTCGCGGGTTTGTCATAGGTAAAAGTCACTTCGACGCCGATCAGCTTCTTGCGCAGAAATTCGCGTGACTCCCAGGCCCAGGGCTCGTCCTTAGTCTCATCGCCGCCAGCGCCAGGCCGGCGAGCCAGTTTCGGGGCGAGGACATGAGAGAAAGTGATTTGTTTCTCTGGTGGCGGGGCACCCTTGGTGGCGCGAATAACAACCGTGTCGCCAGAGAGCACCTGAAATATACGTCCGCCACACACAAGCAATGAGGTTAAAATGAAATCAATATTGCAACCAAAGTAAATGCTAGCACGTGTTTTTCAGAGCAAATGTGTCGATAGGTGGCGCTCAAGTGGTCTCTTAAAGGGCTGCACCACATTGGTGTGACCATACCATGAACGTGTAATAATGCTCATTTATATGCATAGAAGTATTAAAATATTAAAGATAATCACTAAGAATAGCATTTTGTTTTCTATTTTGGCGTAGATTTCATATTTAAATACAATTTTAACGGCTTGTCATTTTTAAATACTTCTGTAATCTATTTTAGAGCTGTTTTTATTAATTACCATGATAATGTTTAGTTTGTACAGTAAATTGAGCGAAAGTACTTTAGATATTATCCTAATTTTCATATTTAAATATAATTTAAACGGTTGGTCATCTTTAAATACTTCTGTAATCAAGTTTCTATATCAAGTTGTTTTACCTATTGCCGATTTTGTGCAGTCTTGCATAGTAAACAAATATATAAATTGTATTTTATAGTTAACTTATGAATGAAACTAATTGTAATTATTATGTACTAAAATTCAAATAAACTTACACGTAAAAGAACAATTTTGTGGCCTATTCATCTACGTGCATTAAGCTGACAAACAGGTGTTGGGCTTTGGTGCATTTTAGATATCAACAGGTCTTTCACCCAAACGCTGTAACATTCGAATTCGAATTGGAATGATGACGCGGCATTAGAGAGGGGACCAACGTAAAAGAAAAACAGTTAGCTCTATTGCCAAAGGTGCTTGCAACGTCATCACTTGTGAAGTCGTTTTTATTAATTGCAATTGATAACTGTTGATAACCAGCTTTAGCAGCTGCCATGTGCCTATTTTGTTAGATTATACACATACATATTTATGAATGCATAGCATTTAAAAAAAGCTGGCTTACATTGCACTCAAAAATAAAATTAAATACGGACTGCACAATAACAATTATATACAAAATTACATACATAGATTGTATATATGTAAACACATATATACATATCTATAGATGTATGTGCATACATTTTGCGCCTGTGCAAGCGCTATTTGAGGTTAGAAACGAATAGTTTTGTATTAACCGTACCGCACGGCAAGTATATTTCAACCTATGTATGTATGTGTGTTTATCAGATAAAAACGCATGTTTCAAAACGCCGGCAAGTCTCTGCTGACTGATGACGTCGACAGTGTAAATTGTGGCACTGGCAACAGTATGCCCGAAATGCGTATGCCAACATTATATGTAAATGAATTTGTACTCAATACATTTTATAGCCGCAGCTGAACAAGAAAATCTGCCAGGTTGGCACCTTCGATAACTTTCGTTTCTTTGCGTTATGCTATTCAGCCATTGTGTGCGTGTGTAAGCGTGTGCGACGTGTCACTCTCACGCAGCTCGCATATATGAGCATCTCTTTCGCACATGCTTCAGTGGCATTTGCCGTATTTGCCACGCTGATAATCACAGATTTTTTATTAGTTAGATGCGATTTACTTATTCCACGTGAATGAGTTCGTATTAAAATAGTACACAGATTGAAAAGCACTTAAAAACTACACTTACTTGTTTCACAATGCCGTTTAAAGTCTTTGGAGGCGCTGGTGCATTTGGTGCAGGCGCACCGTCTTTCGCTGGTCCAGCTGTCGTGTTAGCTGCAGTTGCCATATTTCCGTACGCGTGCGGTTTTTACCGGCGGACCGTTATACGTGGCTGTTTTAGTAAGCGGGTTGAATTCCTCAAGTTGATTTAAAGTGCACCTAACACTGTTTTTAACTTAATTAAGTTAATTGAGTATGAACACACCACACAATACAATCACCTCAGAATTTTCACTGCTCAGCAAGCCGTGTGACCAAATCGCTAAAAGTCCGAAATACACTCTTATTGACGAAAATACCAATAGGGAAATGAGTTTCTTGTCCAATATACTGGATGCGCTCAGTTAAGTGTTCAAAGTTTATTAAATGTTTATATGCATGTATACGTATGTATTCAAATATATTTATGTATTTATAAGTCATAATTAAAATGTTACTTTGTTAATCTGCCGACCAATAACAAAATAATGTGCCCAGATTATATGAATACCTTTGCTAAATGCCATCACTAGTTGCGTTGACCATAATAAAGCGGGAAAATTTTTTATGTATTCTACCAATCAACAAAGATGAGCCGTTCAAACAAAATGTTTGGTGATAATGCCTTTAATTTATTAAAGGATCTTCAGCGATCGTCGCAGACTATACCAGCCTTCGACGATGACGGCGTACGACAGGTGCTGGAGGAGATAAAGGCAATTTTTGAGGAGAATGTGGCACAAGCGTCCAATTACAACAGTTCAGGAGATCGCAGTTTGTGGCCCTTGCTCAACTACAGGCATGCGGCACTTCAGCGAAATAAGCGTTGTCTTCTGGCTTACCTATATGAGCGAATGCAGCGTATCAAAGCCATGCGTTGGGAGTTCGGGCCAATTATACCTAGTGATATAAAGCCGGCACTTTGTGAGCCAGAAGTGCAGTTCTTCAATAACTACTCGAAGTCTCTGGCAGCATATATGCGTTCCGTTGGCGATGGGCAAGGCATCGACTTAACTGGCAACTTACGTCCACCGAAATCCCTATATATTGAGGTGCGATGCGTGGAGAATTATGGCAAGTTTGAACTGGATGACGGCGAGGTTGTACATTTAAGGAAAAACAGTCAGCATTACTTACCTCGCGCACAAGTGGAACCGCTGGTACGTCAGGGCATTCTGCAGCACATAACTTAAGGTATAAATAATAGATGCTTAAATAAAACATAGATAAATATTATTGAAAAGATTATATTTTTCTGAAGGAGCTACACTTGAAGCTTTTCAATTTTTTTCTAATCGTTACAAACTAATCGATAGATCACTTTGCCAGCTGCTCGATTGGTTATGTTAAGTTGCCGGCTACAATTTCATAATTGATTATGAATGAATTATTTATAAATAATTGTTAGTTAGTATGCGACATTAGCTATAGTGTATGTTTTTTTAATGAATGGTTCTAAATAGGATTTATTTTTATTTCATTATTTCCGATTCAAAAGCAAGTATCGGAGATATTTCTAATAATAATCGAATGTGCGCTGTTAATAACATTAAACATCTTCTGTACTCTCAGCTGATTGACCATCATTACGTGAATCCAGATTTAGTGAATTAAAATTTGGTTTAAAAATGAATCAAGCCGATGTCAGCAAACTAATGTCACAGCTGAGAATCGCTGTGCGGCCAACTAAACGTAACTTAAAGAACCCTGATGGCCCAGAAGGCCGTCTACTGAAGCTGCGAAAAACCGTGACGGCGTTGGTCAAACACGAGCGCATTGAATTGTATTACAATCGGGCAGATGAAGCGCGTGGATATGCTGAATTGGTGAGTGTCAAATTTGAGGCAAGTAATGTTGAAGTGCTGCTAAATTATAAATTCTTTCAGCTCATTTCAAATGCTATACGCCATGGCGATCGACACAAAGCAACCATGGAGCTGGCGGACTACTGGCTGCTGGAGAAACAACTTGTGCATAAACTCTTTAAGGTTTTAGTGCCGCGCTTCGAGAACTCCAACGTTTCCTACACACGCATGTTCAAGGCGCCACGCGATTATCCGGGAATGTACTATAGAAAATCAGTGCTGGAGCTACGTGGAAATCCTTATCCCGTACTTACACCAGATAACAGCCAGAATCGTAATTTATTGCACAATGTGCTGCTGGACGAGGCGCGCAAGGAGTTTCGACGTGAAAAGTTAGCAAACTTGGCTAACAAACTGGCTGCTGAGACTGAGAATGCAACAGCATCAACAACTGCAACACCTGCACAAGCACCTGTAACGGAAACACAAACCGAGCAGTCAAAGCAAGCCGAGGAAGCGCCCAAAGCATAGTTAACTATTGTAAATCTGTTGATGTAATACATTTTTCTAAGCTAATTTATAATATACAGAGATGTTAAACGGGTGGTATTTACATGTGTGTTGAAGAGAGTGAGAGACAGACAGAGAGAGAGAGAGAGTGAGAGAAAGTAGAGAGAATGCCGGGCGAGAGCGCAAAGCTTGATAAAGCTCTAATTTGACCATCCCTTTAAAGTAATCTCGCGCACTAAATATATATGTAAATATATACATGTATTTACTTACACTTGTATACATATATATGTATGTGTGTATTTTTATACATAATTATTAAAAAGGATGGGCCAAACGCCTACAGTTGCTGCATCGGTGTATGTGCGCGTGTCTTTATCTGTAGCTCGACGCTGATAAAACACGTATGAAAGCTTTGTAGCTTTTATAATTTATTACAAACCCAACTGAGTAGCCTATCAGAATGGAATAGGCGTAATTACTTATGTCAACTCTTGAAGGAAAATAGAAAATTGGAATTAAAAATGGAAAATGAGTTAGGAGAATTTAATTGAATTATATCTTTACAGCATAGTTGAAGTGAAGCATTGCGCGAAGTTCTGGCTAGCTGCAACTCTAAATTAATTAAATAATAATTTCCAAGATATAAATATAAATATTCATGAATCTGTTGCCTAAATATATACATGTTTGCATATATTGTATTTCGCTAGGAGCACACATACTTTGCTTCGTATACCCATTGATAATGATAAATGAGGGTATAATGATTTTATCACAATGTATGTAACAGGCAATAGAAGGCTTGATACTTTTATGCTATGCTCTTCATAATTTATAAATCATATTATAACTTTTACGGCTAGAAAATCGATTTGTTTGCCAAAAATTTATAAGAGAAGCTTAAAATTATTGAACTAACAGCTCTTTCCCGTATTCAGGGTATATTCTAGTCAGGCACTCCCAACTGAAGCACTTATTTTCTCTCTCACTTTTACTGAAATGCGCAAGTTATGTGCCTGGATTTGCTGTAATATTTGAGCCAATTGAAAGCTTCAGGATCTGCATTCTTGTTTATTGACAAAGATGGGTCCTAAATAACAGAAGACCATGAAGCTATCTTCACATAAACATACATATGTAAATATGTAAACGTGCTAATTGTAAAGCTCATAATATGACACCGAGTCGGCCTTGCCAACAGATAATCGTACACATGATATGTTGCAGTCATTACGAATTCGTAAATATTTATATTTAAATAAATATATTTCATACTTTTCCATTTATTATACATATATCAGTCTTGAAGAGCGTGGCTAACAAGCAATCAGTCGGCTGTGGTATAGTTAAAGCTTGCTAACATTGCAATGGCTCAAAAAGTCAATTTTCCAATCTATAGATTATATAGGTAGAATAATATAAATATTAAGTCTATATAACTAAATATCATTCACTACCTTTGCCAGTTAGGCAGATCTCGCGCAACATATCGCAGTGGCTGTAGAAGAACTGATGCTCATTCGTATATGTGGCACAAATGGGCTGGAAGGGATCACAGTCGTCCAGGCCCTTGCAGCGACTGCTCGAGTACTCGAAGACCGGCAGAGAGAAGACGCAGAGCACAGATGCCACACAGATGACCAGTAGAAGAAGCAACGATAATTTCGATAAGATGCGAAACGAAGGCATGCTAAAAGGTTTTTAGCACTCTAGCAGAATGAGTCACGCTTTTCTCTGAGCTAGATGAATATAATACTATTTTAGCTTGTTTTTGCAAATGCAGTGGAACCAAAGTCAACTCACCTATTGGCACATAAATTTGGTTATATACTTTCGTTTGAGTAAACGATAATGCTCCATGTGTTTCGTGTTGAGAACTGATAATCACTGGGAAGCTTGAGCGCTACTGTGCGCTCTCGCTCTGATGTCTCTGTACTCTATTCGAGCAGCTGAAGCCCCTCATCTGGCTGGGCCCAGCGATTGTCATGACAACGCGTCGATTGTGGCGCATTGTTATTGTTATTGTTGCTCACCGACACAATGATAAACATTGGGCACAATCGCAGTGCGCGCTATTGTTTATCCCGCTATTGCCGGCAAAAAAATAAAATAAAACCCCAATGAATTCCGATGTCGTTGCTCATCTAACTGGAACACCGTTTCCAGCTGAATCGGAAGTGTTGCCTAGCGGAAGCGTTGCGTGCGGCCAAACCATATTTGCGAGCTGAGCTCGTGAACTTTATAGGTCAAATCAAAAATGCCGGACACTAGGCCGGTCCGCTAATAGTCTGAGTTTAGCTTCCCATTTCATTCACATATTTGTCACATGTCATCAAAAGTTTTAAACTAGTTAAAGCTGGCTATTCCTATTATTTAAATTTATTCCTGAACTTCATAGGTCAGAAAAACCGGCCGATTGAATAATAGTCAGAGTTTTGATTCATTCACCTATTGCTCGCATGTCATGGAATACATATATTAAACTAGTTATGAGCTTGGTAATTCTATAATCTAAATTTGCATATTTAATATACCTGCGTAGAATATATAGAAAACCCGGCTGATCAAATAAGAGTCCGACTTATGATTCATTCACATACTTGTCACGTCATAAAATCTTGAAATTTCTACAATCTAAATTTACATATCCAATACACATACAGGTGTATAATACGACTTACATCACATGATGACACTTGCAACATACTTAAGTATGTATTTGTGTGCCTACAAACGTCAAGCTGACTGCATTTCCTGCTTATGTGTGTTTTGCCAGCGTCCCTATGTATGTATGTATGTATTTGTCTCTGCGAAAAAGTTGAGCAGACGTACATACATACAGTTGCAGCATTGAAAGTAAAACAATGGAGACATAACACATATATATATATAAATATATACATATGATTTACATACCTAACAATTCGGTATATCAACGTGTGAAATCAATATAGAGCTTCAGTTATTTGCACATCTTTGCAGCTGGCTTAACCAAATTTTCCATTGGGTTTTTTATTTATTGAATAGAATTTTTTTTTCATTTTTTTTTTTTTTTTTATATTTTCAATAGCAGTTGCCTATAATAACTAAAAGTTTAGTTGCATATAAAGATAATGCTTTCTTAAATATTCATTTTAAAAAAATGAAGTTAATTATTAAGTTTAATTCGCTGCCAGTTTCATTGCAATCCGTTATGAAATGCAGAAGTTATTAAAGAAAACGTGTGGTCAATTAATTGACAAAGTCACGTGGCTTATTACCGTCATGCCCAAGTATTTTCTCTCCCACTCAAACACACAAAGGCAAAGGCATGCATCCCTATTGGCTTGCTATAAATAGCATAAGCAATTGAATTGTATTTGATTTGCCAGCCTGGTAGCTTAGTTGTGCATTTGGCACTTTTGTTTAGGATTGTTGCTTGGCGCAGTTGGTTGAGGCGCGAGTCGAAGTGCTGTCAAAGCAATTTACACATGACTGAGCAGATGGCAGGTTCGAATCTTGACGAGGGAAAGACTTCATAATTGTTCAAGTAGAAAAGAGATTTTAATGTTTCGACTATTATTTATTGATTGTTGAGTAATTGACAACAACAACTTCAGTTGGCATCTATTATGTTAGCAGTACTGTTACTGTTAGGTTTCTATTTATTATTACGGGCTTATTACGTATAGGTGCCGGGAGTGAAAGCTTAAATGTGCTGTCACAGCATTTACTAAGCTTACTCAGGCTCAAACCTTGACGAAACGGGCATGTCTTCTCATTCTTCAAGTAAAAAGACTTTAATGTTTCGTCAAACATACATTTAGTTATGCATTTGAGTAGGAGCTTCTGGGCATTCTATGAACTTATGTGACTGAGCAGACGAGCACGAGCTCGAAACTTGACGAAGGCAAATCTTAAATTCAGTCAAGTAGAAAAAATTTTAAGGTTTCCTCGAATATATGTATACATATCTATTGATTTTATCATGCTCATATTTTAAGAATCTTTCAAAGCAGATGCTTAGGATATTTCTTGGTCGGCTTTCTACCTATAAACGCGTGCTTCTTTTACTGAAAGTACTTAATGTCTATATACTTTCCTATTCAAGTCACGTTAAATATTATTTCTAACGCTAATGGGATTAATAATAATGTACTTTAAAATGCAATTTCTGGTATTTTAAGACTTCATTTTAGCTATAAATACCAATAAAAAATGGCTGCGCTACACATATGAACCAGCTATAAGAAGCAATATATTTTGTGGTTTAATCTTTCAGTGGGCAATATATGAAAATATTATTGCGCGCACAAGTCAATAGCAACAGCAATAACCTACAACAACAGCCGAGCCACAAGGATAGGCAGCACAAATGAATGCCACGCACACGGAGAAGGGTAAAAAATATTGGCACAGTCCAACCGAAGCCCATCTAGATCCAGCTCAATTCGTGTGAAGTAGTTGACTGCTTATACCCTGTAAATGTGACAAAGAGAGAGAGAGAGAGAGGGACAAAGAGAGTAAGAGAGTCGGTCTTCATTATCAGCAATTTTATTATATATACTCCAAACTTGCATCTCCTATATAATTTCAAGATGCATTTACACCTGTACACATCATTCTCATCATTCCAGGGCATCTCTTAGCAGCATCGCTTCACGCTTTCCTCTTGTTACTATTCGGAATTTGCTGATATGCGCGCACCGATATCGACTTGTTTTTGCGGTTGTGAAAGTGTGGGGGTGGCTGGGGACTTATATGGGTCAGCGGACAGTGAACAGAGTACGGCGTATAGCGTACGGCGTATACACATATCATGTGTGCAATATTAGCCAGAATCCATTTGGCTAAACCAGCAGAAAAAGGTTCAAGTGTAAGCAATAAACAAATATTTCAAATTACTCCCACGAGATGCACGAGATTTGCCTTTCGTGTTTATTGTCGATTGTATTTATCATTTCATCTTTATTATAAATACACGTCAAGTGTAATGAACGTGCAGTGGGCGTACAAGACTGCATAATACTTGTTCATGTTACAAAAATTGATTCAATTTATGGATCTATCTGTAGATCTGTAAGTAGGGATCCTTGATTAAGATTTCAGGTAGATGTAGTTTTATTCAATGTGCCACGCCCTACATGGGCGAAGATATACATATACTTACATATACTTTTATGCATATTAGTTCAAAAATTCCAAATCTCTAGCATCAATATAGGCATAAGATAATGTAAGCCCCATTTAGCAGTGCCCTAAGTGGGCACAAGTCTAATAAGTCTATAGGCCTCAAAGACAATTTTCATAACTCTAGTCGGCTCACATTACCCAAAACCCATATACTCTCTTCCTATTTCATCAGGAAGGCATATAAATGTTCATATAAATCGAAAAAGTTGAGTGGTTTAAAATGGGAGATGTCCATTTCGGACCTCTGACCCAATTGTGCACTGATGTGCACTGTTTTACACTCGCACAATTAGGAGGGAAGCGCACATGCTGTGTCTTTATAGACATTACAAATTACAAATGAATTCCAGGCACGTGATCTGCTGCTTGACTGCATCCGTTGGCCAACACCAACACCAATACCAGTACCAATACCAACACCAACGCTGCACAACTGGCCCAAATGGGTTGCAGCAGTTTGCATTTAGAGTGGGCTATATGGCTATGGGCTTCTAGCTGATTGTGGTCAAATTTTATGTATATATAAAAAGTGTTTTACGGCTAGGTGAATTTATATCATTTAATTTAATTAAGTTTCCGTTTATATATGTTCAATGAATTACATATTTTAAATTTGTTTAATTTAGTTTAATTCCGCCAAATCTCTAGTTTAGAGATTGTATATAGAAGTTCTTGATCTGGGAGCTGAAGACTTTAACAATAAGAGGTATCCCCGTACACCCCTAGAATGACAGCAAACTTTGCACTATTTAGTACACATATTTATTATTTTAGTATTTTGTTGCAATTTTATGCTCTTAACTAGTTCTGATAAAGGAAACAATTTTAAACTTCATTTTTAATCTTTTAAGAATATAAATTTATTATTTTAACTAATTTTTAAATTTTTTTTTCTAAATTTTATTATGGCAATTTATTGAATTTATTTCATCAAAATGCACACCAAATGAAAGATGCGTCTCTTTAACCAAATATATCTCCATAAAGCTTATCCAAATAACTTTCATATGTAAATCAGAGAGACTGTCAGGTAAGCAACATAATCACCCATCAGATGGGTCGGGCTCGGCAAATGGGGAGTATTTCGTTCTGAGTTGTGGCTTTTGGTTTTGCCCTTTAAACTGCGTTGCTCATGAGTGCTTCAATATTTCATTGGAACTTTCGACCTGTGCCTGGACTGACCGTGCGACTAAATTACATTTGCATTATTAAATTTTATGACAGCTGTTGGTCTCAATAGCCTCGGCGCGTTTGTACTCAATGGCCATGGTACAGACAATTTTTGGGTATATTATATATGGATATATGGTATATTAAGTACGCATATGTGCAGGGAGTTCAGCCTCGTCTATCTAGATGATTTTGATTGTTAATAATATTAATAATTAATAATATTACGAGTCGTAATATCTCGTGATGCAAAGAAGTTATCAAAGATTCAATTAGATATTGTTTAATTGATTGATAGCTCGCTTCATATGCAAGTTTTTTTTAAATATATATATATATATCGATCTTTAGTTAGATAAGTTTAGATTCAGACTGACTAAAAACATTAAAATGTATTTCG